TAAGTGATAAAAAGAAACAAAATTGAGTTACTTGTAGTGAGGTGGATGGACCTTGAGTCTGTCACAGAGAGTGAAGTAAATCAGAAAGAAAAAAATAAATACAGTATGCTAACGCATATATATGGAATCTAAAAACAAACAAACAAACAATGGTGCTGATGAACCTAGTTGCAAGGCAGGAATAAAGATGTAGACATAGAGAATGGACTTGAGGACATGGAGTGGGAGCGGGAAGCTGGGGCAAAGTGAGAGTAGCATCCACATATATACACTACCGAATGTAAAGTAGTTAGCTAGTGGGAAGCAGCCGCATAGCACAGGGAGATCAGCTCCATGCTTTGTGATGACCCATAAGGAGGGGGTGGGAGGGAGGCTCAAGAGGGAGGGGATATGGGGACGTGTGTATGCATATGGCTGATTCACTTTGTTGTGCAACAGAAGCTAACACATATTGTGAAGCAATTATACTCCAATAAAGATCTATTAAAAAAAAAAAGATGTGAAATAAGCAATGTTGGCAAGGATGTAGAGTAACTGTAACCCTCACGCACTGCTGGTGGAAATGTAAAATAACACAGCGGCTTTGAAACAGTCAGGCAGTTCCTCAAAAGGTTAAACATGGTTACCATATGACCTAGGTATTCCATTTCCAAAGTAATGAAAATATGTCCACACATAAACTTGTACATGAATATTCATAGATGCATTATTTTAAAAACCAAAAATTAGAAACACTCAAATGTTCATCAAATGACGAATGAATAAACAAAATGTAGTATAGTCATACAATGGAATATTATTTGGTAATAAAAAGAAATGAAGCACTGCTATATGCCACAACATGGATAAACCTTGAAAACACTATGGGGTGTGAAAGAAGCCAGTAAAAGAAGACTACAATTATATGACTCAATTTATATAAAATCTTCAGGATATGTAAATCCATAGCTGACAAGGGTGGGGGGTGGTTAAACAGGCCATGACTGCTAATAAGTACAAGGTTTCTTTAAAAGATGATAAAAGTGTTTTTAAACTGACTGTAGTGATGGTTGTATAACTCTGAATATACTAAAATCCACTGAGTTATACACTATAAATGGGTAAACTGTATGGTATGATGGTTAGTCTTATGTGTTGATGAAGCTGGGTTATAGTACCTCAGGTATTTAATCAAACACTAATGACCTCCTCCTGAGTGTGGTAGGGACCTGAACATAAGATGGGATAGTCATTCTGATGATTAGGTTGTTACATGGCACAGTTGGCTTTGAGAAAGGGACATCATCCTGGATGGACTCAGTCAGATGATCCCTTAAAAGGCATTAGTCTCTACTTGAAGGAGATTCAAAGTGTAAGTGATCCCATTTCAGTTGTCGAGACTCTACAATGCGAGTTCTGGAAACGGAAGGGGGATGAGGGAGAGAATGTGAGCCTTCTTTCAGAGCCGAAGTGGTCCCTGGCTGACAGCCAACTAGAAAACAGTCACCTCAGCCCTACAATTGCAAGGCACTGAATTGTGCCAACATTTGAATAAGCTTGGAAGCAGATTCTTTTCTAGAGGGCTGGTCAAGTATTTTGTAAAATGTCCTTCAATGTCATTTTGTCTGATGTTTTCTGATGACTAAACCAGGTTATAGATTTGAGGGAAGAATACCACAGAAGTGAGGCGCCCTTCTCACCACATCATATCAGGGGGTATGTGATATTAACATGACTTATTACTGGTGTTGTTAACCTTGATCACTTGTTTATGGTGATGTCGCCTTACATCCTCCACTGTAAAGTTACAGTTTTTCCACATCTACACTCTATTCACTAGGAGTCACCATGTCCAACTCACACTCAAGGGGAGAGAAATTAAGCTCCACTTCCTAGGGGAATGAGTGTCAAGGTACTTGTGGACATACGTTCAAACCACAACAGTAATTAATAAATATTTTTGAGGAAGATATTTGGAAGCTACACAAATATATTTTTTCTCCTTAAAGTTTCACCCACTAATTTGAACATTCTTAAGAAGACTATTCTTACGGCACTTATTACTGTGGGGTTCTAACAGCAATTTTTTATTTCCCTCATTCATTCTAACATTTATTATTTGGAATTTTCTGTAAGGAATATTTATCCATTCTCACCCATTTATTATCTATTCAATCACTTAAATCACATGGATATGTATTCTGTTCTTTGGCTTACAATCCAACACAATCATTATTTTTTGCCCAGATTTGACCCACTAAGAACTTTTCTGGTTGGCTGTGTCCCTTTGACATGCTCCCATCCTCCTTTATTTTGTTTTGAGCACTTTCTTACTTTCTGGCATTAAAGAATACTTCAGGTTCACCTTGTGTTCTCCCTGCCCCAGCCCTAGAACCAGCCATTACTCCACAGAGCCCTGGTTCCTTTCATCGGAAAATGGTATTTAGAAACCAGGATTGTGGGCACTGAATGTGCTCATTGCTACTGGGGCATCATGGCTTCCAGGCCCTCTTGGAGAACTGAGCTAGAAAATATATGTATATATACCTCTGCGTATATATATTAAATATTAAAATAAACTTGAATTCATGCTTATACTCTAAACCAATACCAGGATTCTTTTTTCTTTCTTTTCTTTTTTTTTTCTTTTGGCCATGCCGCACGGCATGTGGCATCTTAGTTCCCCAACCAGGGATCGAATCCGTGGCCCCTGCAGTGGAAGCTCGGAGTCCTAACCACTGGACCGCCAGGGAATTCCCCACAGGGTTCTTTATAGTCTTTACTCTTCGCATGTTTTTTTAATAGACCTTCATTGGAGTATAATTGCTTCACAACACTGTGTTAGCTTCTGTTGTACAACAAAGTGAATCAGCCATATGAATACACACATCCCCATATCCCCTCCCTCTTGAGCCTCCCTCGCATCCTCCTTGTGGGTCATCACAAAGCACGGAGCTGATCTCCCTGTGCTATGCTGCTGTTTCCCACTAGCTAACTATTTTACATTCGGTAGTGTATATATGTCGATGCTACTCTCACTTTGCCCCAACTTCCCCCTCCCACCCCGTGTCCTCAAGTCCATTCTCTATGTCTATGTCTTTCTGTGACCGTGGGAAACCTGGCTCACATTAAACACAATTAATTTATATATTTGTCCAAACCTACTAAACATATAAAGTATTGTTAGAATTGTTAATCTGTACTATGTGAGAAACAAATTTACCAATCAGAATATAATGTTTATGTAGGTTTTTTTCTTTAGTTTTACAGTACCCAGCCAAAACGCTGTTTTCCAAGGTTACTTAGGTCAGCTCATTATTTTGATGAGGTTATGGCATTTGTAATACAGTTAAATTTATTTCTCACAGTTTGCATTCCCTTATGGGATCCCCTGACATGCTGGTTGAGTTTTTTGTTTAATTTGCCGTCAGGAAAGTTCTTTCTTTGTGGTATACAATATGGTTTGACAAATGCATAGAGTCATTATGAACTACCACAGTGTCATAAAGAAGAGTTCCACAGCACAAAAAATTTCATTATGAGGTCCCCTTGAAGGCAATTCCTACCTTTACTACTTCTGGCAAATAACTGATCTCTTTTCCATCTCCATAGCGCAATATGTAGCCTTTTGGTCTGGCTTCTTTCACTAAGTAAAAGGTATTTAAGATTCAGCCATGTTGTATGAATCAATAGTTTGTCCCTCTTCTTGGTTTTCATATATTCCAAAGTTTATGTAGAAGTACCACATTCCCTTAGTCCATCTGGTTTCAGTGCAACACACTGTCAGCGCCGCACCTAAAGCAAGTTCTGCAGTATCTCCCCACTTTTTTGCCTCAGAATGTTCACTGGTATCATGATAAGCTATTAATCAGACATGCTGGCACAGCTCAGAAGTACAATACCCGCAGAGGCATCACTCAACCATCAATGGAAGAGAGTTAGTGGATAAATTCCCCACCCCCACCCCCAATCCCTGAGGGTTAACTCTGAGAAGCATTCTGCATAGTTCTTCATAGGTCCCTAGTGTGTCTGAGCTCAAATTTCCCAGTATAGTAGTCAGCCTAATAATGTACATATTATTGGTTTTTCTCCCGACTTTGAAACTCTCTGTTCCCTCAATTGTGCTTCCTAGGTTCATCTCGTAAATAAACTATCTCACCCAAGTCTTTGTGTCTTCTGGAACACTCTTTCCCCAGACAGCCCCATGATTCATTCCCTCATCTACTTGAGGTGTTTATTAACCATTACTTCTAAGTGAGATCTTCTCTTACCAGTCTTTTAAATTGCAAGCTTTATCCCCCTTCCTTGCTTTATTTAATAGCACTTATCACCACCTAACTTCATATACATATATATGTGTGTGTAATTAATTTTATTAATTTCAACTCGAATACAGGCTCAATTAATGCAGTGATTTTAGTCTACTTTTTTTCATTGTTATGTCTCTAGCATGTAAAACACTCTTTGCACATAGTAGGCACTCAATAAAAATATACTGAATAAATTAATTTTTCAAGAAGGTTGATTTTATTCCATATAAGAACAGACTCCCTATTTTAAAAACTCTAAAAACTTTACTGACCTTCAAAATTGAATGGTACCAAATACCAAGGGTCAAAATAACTCTATCATGGATATTATACAAAATGTTCCCATACTTAGCCTGACTGGATCCCCTGAGCTGCCTTTGAATTTTAAGATAGTATAATATTATAAACAATAAAAGACTACACTACAGTACAGAAATTTGGTATGAAACCAATATTTTTTTTCCTTTTAACAGTTCACATGAAACCAAATCTAACAATTATGTACCATGCATCTGGTCAGCCTGTTTAATGATTCCAAACATAATACCACCTATAAAACAAACATGGATATAGGAAAGAATTTTTTTAATCCTTTAAATTTGAGTCTTATTTTCATTGTTTTTTTTTTCTATATCTTTATTATAAGAAAGGAAAGTAATTCCTGGTGTCCTTGAGCAGAAGCTAAAATTGCTTTCATCACATTTTTATTACCTGGACACTGGATAAAGGACCACTCATAGTTCTTCTCTTTAGGACAAACACTGGTGTCAAGAACCATCTCATTATTTTGCATTCCAACAAGCTTCATTGGTCCCCGGGAAGACCCTTCAATGCAGTGTCCTCTTCCTGTATTACTAGGATCGTTGCACCAGCCACAACCAGGCTGCTCCAAACATTGTCCACAGGTTCTCAATCCAGAACAGTTTTGAGCTGCATGGCAGGAACATCATTAACAAGTATGTTATACGACTTTATATTCAAATAGAATTGCAAGCTAATGGAAAAATAAATATGATCTGAAAAAAGACAGTAAAAAGTCATCTATAGTTAATGTAAACATTTTATGTAATAATAAGAGACAGTAATTACTTCAAAAGCAAATAAAACACACATTATGAACAAAGAGGAGATGAATGGACTGACTTGAGGGTGAATAAAGGTGTGGTACCATGACAGGGAGAAAAACGAAGTCAGCATTTTAAACACTCCTGAGAACTTTGCCAGTATTAAGACCTTTCGGGAACTGATCCTGGGGCCTACAGACAACATTGTCTGTGATATAGAGCAATATTAGTTGTTCTTGTTGTGCCTAGGGAGGGCCTTCAAGGAAAAAATCTGCATCTTCCTGTGAATGTCCAGTGTAAGTCATGCTTACCCACTCCCTGGGATAGCTGAACCCAGCTGGACTGCCTCTCAGGGACAATGGTCTTCCCAAGGGTCCAAGATACTAGCATTTGCCGGCCATGTGATGTTTAACAGCAACCTCACTCAAAGAGCCGAACTGAATGGGAATATGGAAACTGGATACTCTGCCTTAGCAGGCAACCAGCAGGACAGGCTCTCTCTGACTTTCAGGGCTGCAGAATACCACCTCAAGAATCACTCACTGAAGCTCAACCTTTATTTGCTTAACTGATGTATAGACTATGAGCCTCAACTAAGCCTGCGAATACTGTGATGTCTTTTCCAAGGATGAATATATTACAGTCTGCCATAATAGTCATAATAGCTGCTATGTGATGTTTCCGATTTTTAATTCACAATCATAGTACCTTATATCAGGCTGAGACTTTTTAAAATTAGTTTCACTGATGTTTTGCTAGCAAAGGTACACTTTGTCTTGGGACTTATTTATCCATATAAGATAGTGCATAGGTACAAAGTACCATGAATGATGCCTTCTAATAGCATGCTAGAAAAACCTCAGAGGAAAAAAAAACGGTAGACTTCTGGGGGTCTCAATTTCATTTCTGTCATGGTAATAACTTAACTGCCACTCAGTGTTTTAATGTTACTGGAAACAGAAATGTTCCTCAGAAAGCTGCGAATAAGAATAGTGCAAGCTTCTCAGTGAACATCAGGAACTCAATATAGTAGGCTGTGCAGGGATAATACAATACTGGTTTAAAGAGTTCATCAATTGCAGTATGATTTGTTGTTATGAATTTTTTCAGTGCTGAGCATTTCACAGACCGGATGTAAGAAAGTGAAGAATGAGTACCATCTCCTATATTTCCTTAACAATAAATTTAAAAGGAAGAATATTCTTTGCGTCATTGAACACAAGTCAATGTTAACCCTGTAGATAAATAATTCAGTGACATGAACATACTTCTTTTTGAAATTTTTTAAGCAGTAAATGGTGCTAAATGGCACTTCATTTAAAATTTCCTTAGATAACTGAACATTTTATATATTACCATACTCCTCCCTAGACTTTTTGCTGTGAAATATTTCTCTTTTATCTGTGATTGTAGCTAGCCCACAGTATCATTGACTAGATTATTCTAATTGTCTTCAAAACTATATTGGGTTGCTATGAAATCAATGGGGAACAATGTAAAATATCAAATTAGGTATGCTATCTTGACATTCTAATTTACTATCATGTGATGAATTGAAGTAAATCTTTACTAGATCGCACCCAAAATAAATCTAGGCTTTATATTTATAGTCTATAGATATCTCCTAGGAAAATAAAATTTATTTTAGGATTACCTTTTTAAGGAAAGATAACCAATCAAATGTCTTGAAGAAGCATAATGTACAATTAAACCTAAACTATTTTCAAACACAACATACCTGTTATTGCTTTTCAAACAACTGGGTAAATCTTAGATGAAAGAATCCTGCCTTTCTTACACTGACTGAATGACAAACTATTAATAGTGTCTTTATCTATTAGACTTTAGGCTTTAATAATGAATTACAAAATGTCATCTTCAGAGCAACGTTCTATTCTCTTATGTTTTATTTTAGGTATGAAACTATTACAAAAGGAAATGTTGGTTTAGTTATTACTCAAGAGTGGAGAGTTGGGCTTCCCTGGTGGCGCAGTGGTTGAGAGTCCGCCTGCCGATGCAGGGGTTGCGGGTTCGTGCCTTGGTCCCACATGCCGCAGAGCGGCTGGGCCCATGAGCCATGGCCACTGAGCCTGTGCGTCCGGAGCCTGTGCTCCGCAATGAGAGAGGCCACAACAGCAAGAGGCCCGCGAAAAAAAAAAAAAAAAAAAAGAGTGGAGAGCAACACGCATTGCTGAAGAATTAACAGAATATTCATTCTTTAGTTTGTAATGGAGACTAAAAAACTGAGACGCTAATGTTTTTTCTTTTCTTACGGAAAACAATAATATAGGAAAGCTTTTGTAGACTGTGCTATTTTGAGTAAGTTATGGCTATTCTGAAGACTATGTATGAGCTATAAGTAATTAGAGCAATTATTTTTATTTTATTTTATTTTATTTATCTTTGGCTCTTTGAAAGATTAATTCTAACAGGTCCTCGCAGTGAATATCAAAGAAAAACCCCTTTGTGATTCCAGCATGGGAGGGGAAAAGGAACAATTTTGAGATATGCCAGAGCACTGTTTTTCTTACCAAGGCCTGGAGAAACAATTTAACAGAGCCTAAACTACTGGGGTTTTATCAGAGCCTAACTGACCCGGCTAAAGGGAAATAACCAACTCTAACCTGCTCTAATCTTTCATGTGGGGGGAAGAGAAATATACAACTCCAGCTCCCTCCAGCCATGGTGTACCACCTAAGAGTGGAAAAAAAGACTGAGTACCACTAGTGAAGTGAAGTTCACAGAACAGTATGGGGCACAGGCTCACCGAAAGAATGAGACCTAATCACAGGACTGTAGAATACTTCCCCTCCCGCACAACCTACTACTACATTACTAAAAGCCTATTTACAGTAGTTTCTTTCAATGTTTGTTGGTTAAAAACATGGAAGAGAATTAAACGTTAATAGAGAAGGAGTTTGTTTTCCATAAGGAGTGGGTCACTGCCAGGTAAATACTATTTCCAAAAAACACAGGGGCTCCTTGAGGCAAAGTAAAATGCCCCTCTTCCTCACAAGGATATATAGGGCATATAATTTTAAAAGCTATGGAACAAAAATAACTTCTATGAGACATCATCAGTTCAAATGAGCTATATATATAGCCACAGGGAAGGCAAATGTGACAATAGACATAACAGTGAAAGAAAAGACCTATGGAAATGAAATATCCAGCAGACTAGACTAACTGCTCAAGGAACAAACTGCAGAAGTAGAAAATAAGCCTCTATAACAATCAAGAAAACAAAAGAAGCAAAAGATCGAAAACAAGAGATGCCAAAGCAGGACTGAAGAAGTCACCTGTGCATGCCTAGCTGACAATCCCACCAGCAGCAGTTATCATCATTTAGTTCAGCAGTGGTAAAAATGCAATTCATACCTGTGTTCAAATAGTTAATCATTTTAAATTTACCCTTCAAAAAATGCAGTTACAATTTTTACAGTGGAGGGTTCTCAAAAAAATTCACTCTGAATAGATAAAAAGCCCCAAATTTGGGCTTCCCTGGTGGTGCAGTGGTTGAGAGTGCACTTGCTGATGCAGGGGACACGGGTTCGTGCCCCGGTCTGGGAAGATCCCACATGCTGCGGAGCGGCTGGGCCCATGAGCCATGGCCGCAGAGCCTGCGTGTCCGGAGCCTGTGCTCCGCAATTGGAGAGGCCACAACGGTGAGAGGCCCGCGTGCCACAAAAAAAAAAAAAAAAAAAAGCCCCAAATTTTTAAAAACCATAAAAAAGGAAAAATATCTGAATCTCACTTAGCAAACAAAGAGATGGAAAGTACAAGTGAATTTAAGAGATATTAAGCTTGTAGGTGGATCAAGATGACAAAGTGGAGCTCACCTACAAACACATCAAAAATACATCTACAGGTGGAACGGTTTTCACAGAAAACTAACTGGAAACTGGCAGAAGATCTCTTATACAACCAAAGCTGTAAGAAAGATCCCCAAGTAACTTGGTAGGACAGAAAAAAAAAAAAGGCATCAGGACAGATCTGAGGCCTGTGGGAGGAATCTGTGAAGGAGGGAGGGACACATGGGCAGGTCCTTGCCCTGAAAAGCCCCCCTGCAAGCTGGGAGGAGCCTGGACTGTGCTCAGAAAGAGCATGCACCTGCTGGCTTCCTATCTATCTGTGCAGACAGACCAGTGCTGACAGCTGCCACCTAACTGGACTTCCTGCAAGGGAAAATCCAGCAACCTAGGATACTCTACCCAGCAAGCTTATCATTTAGAATAAAAGAAGAGATAAAGAGTTTCCCAGACAAGCAAAAACAAGAAGAATATAGCAATACTAAACATAACCTAAAAGAAATATTGAAAGCTCTTCTCTAAATAGAAAAGAAGCAAGAATCTATAGGAAAGGGAAAATCACAATAGGAAAGACAAAAATATAACAGGATTGATCACTTAAATAAGCCAGTACATAAATTTAAAAACAATCAAAAAAAATTTTTAGAAGTGATTATAACGACAATTAACAGCAAACGGATAAACACGAAGATGTAAGATAGAACGTCAAAATCACAAAATGTGGGGGAGGGGAGTACAAAACCATAGATTTTTTAGAATGTGTTTGAACTTACATGACTATGTCTAAAGCAAACAGATGTAGTTATGGGTTAACATACTTCAAAACCAGAATAATCACAAATTAAAAACATACAGTAGATTCACAAAAAAGAAAAAGAAACAACATAATACAAAAGGAAACCATCAAATCACAAATAGAAAAATATAAAGAAGAAATGAACACAGAAGTACTATAAAATCAACTAGAAAACAAGGCTTAAAATGGCAATAAATACATATTTATCAATAATTAGCTGAAATGTCAATGGAATAAATACTCCAATCAACAGACACAGAA